CTGGAACTCCAGCATATTATGTTGGAAGTCAAATGTAAAAAATGCGAACTCCAGTATATTATGTTAGAATATTTTCCGGATTTTGAACAATGTTTTCGTTCATATTTATCTTTACATGAAAAGTGACTAAATTTTGCTTACTTTTGAAACTGTGACTAATTTCTCAATCGCCACTTGTAAATCTGGCTATTTTTGAATTTCACCCGTAAAGTCTTAGAGTTCCATTCTTGAACCAAACATGTCTTAGAATATTTTCTTTTCCAGACAAAATTAATAGGTATCACATATAAATTACTTTTGATTATTAAACTAGAACTCGTAACACTGTTGTTAAAAATTGTCACAGCTTTGAGTCGTGACCACTGGATCTTTCACTTGGAACTAGAGAAAAATTGAAATGAATCTGGATTTTTTTTTTATTCGATGTTCGATATTCGTGTAGTATAATCTAATTCGCGTCAGGAAGTCCTGTTAAAAGGGAGGGGATAAAACGCTCCCTACTAAAGATGACTTTATTCCAACGGCTCAAACTCGAGACCTCTAGTTTATTAAGAAAGAGTATTTATCACAACGACATAAATTTTTTATGTACTACGTTGCATCCTAGAAGGGGAAACTAGTAGCAATTGTAAAGTTATCTCCATGTGGCCTATAGGTTATGGGTTCGAGCCGTGAAAGCAGCCCCTAAATCGTGACCACTGGATCTTTCACTTGGAACTAGAGAAAAGGTGAAATGAATCTGTCTTTTTTCTATTCGGTGATCGATATTCGTTGTTGCATAATCTAATTCAGATTCGCGTCGGGAAATCATGTTAAAAGGGAGAGGGTAAAACGTTTCCTAGTAAAGATGACTTTATTCCAACGGCTCAAACCTGAAACCTCTAGTTTATGATGAAAGAGTACTTATCACAATGATAAAATAAAATTTTTATGTACTACGCTGCATCCTAGAAGGGGAAACTTGCAGCAATGGTAAAGTTATTTCTGCATGACCTATAGGTCACGGGTTTGAGTCGTAGAAGCAACCACCGATACTTGCATTAGGATAGACTGACTACATCACAACCCTTGAGATATTGTTCTTTCCTGGATCGTGCATGAATGCGAGATGCTTTATGCACTGAGTTACATTTTATTACTCTGAATTCTATCTGCAAAACTTAGTTGATTCCATGTGAGGGTATTAGGGGGTGGGGGAGGGGGCCATTTGTAACCGAAAAAGGACACTGGCAAAACATCTCAATTGACTTGCAAGGACTATAAAGAAAATAAGACCCCACCGAGGAATCCCGAAATGAAATTTCTAGGTGGAAATTAGGGTGTTCATAAAAATCCGAAAAATCGAACCAAATCGAAAACCAAACCAAATCGATTAAAAAAATTGATACTTTCTGGTTTGGTTTGGTTTTGGGTTTGAATTTTAAAAATCGATCAAATTTGGTTTGGTTTTGATTTTAATTAGAAAAAAATCGAACCAAACCGACTATAGGAGTAGCTATTTCAAATTTATTATTACACCTATATATATGTATATTTTTATATAAAGCTTCAAAAATTTAATGGTAAATGTTAATAGTTTTGCACTTTTAGTATAGTTCTTTACCTTTACATTCTAGTTTGATTGGTAGTTTTCTTTTGTTAAGTGTAAGAATCCATTTCGTGTTAAAAATAATATATTCTTAATTGAGTTCTTAAATTATTCATCACTATTTGATTTAATTATCATCAATATATCTTGGTAAATAATAGATTTCTCAAAGGCAATTGATTTGATAGTGTTACGTTGAAAACGTGATCTCCGGAATATGTGTTTGGTAGTGTATGTCTTAAATAACCGAAAAAAACCGAAAAACTGACTTAAACCGAATCGAGAAAAAACCGACTTAGTTGGTTTGGTTTGGTTTTAATATTTGAAAAACCGACTTACTTGGTTTGGTTTCTTTTTAGAGAAAAACCGATCCAAACCGAACCATGAACACCCCTAGTGGAAATACTAAATGCACAGTTCTCCTATTTTATGTTGTGTGGACTCTCCAAAATAATGTTGCACCTGTGTCGGATCCTCTAAAAACACATTATTTTTGGAGGATCCGACACGCACCCGATAATATTTTTGGAGAGTCCGAGCAACATAGCTCATATTTAAGTTGAATCCTTCATTTCTTAATGGTTAGTGGTATCATATTTTTGCGCAAAACATTTACTGCTCGATGTTTACATTAAATCAAACAATTTAATTATATAAGTCATAAGTTTAGAGCTAAAACACATATTACTCAATTATATTAATCCTAATGTTACATTTTGTCCTGTCAAATGCAAGTTTTTAGAATCCCTAAGTTGATCTTTTGGCAAAATAAAATGCAGCCAACTTGTCAACTTGACAAGTTTTTTTGTTAATGTTCATGTTTGAGGGTCCTACTCCCTACCCCCCCCCCCCCCCAGGGACCCCGACCCCCAACCCCACCAAAATGCTTTATGCACCCGTCGTGCAAAGTTGGTTTCTTTATTTCTTCCACTGGTGGGCTCAGGCACGGGTTGTAATCAATTCAACAGAATCTTCGTCTATCTTCCCATTTATTCAGAAAATTTTCAACAGCAGTTACTGTCTCACCTATACAAGCAATTTTAATTTTAATTTTATTTGAGAGAAGATACTTGTTGTCCTTTATACTGTGGCCTGACACTCTTGTTGGCAAACGGGGGAAGCGAAATAGGTTGTAATTGTATAGAGCCCCACTTCACAAGCAGAGCCGCCCCAAGCAAACCCTGAATAAGAACTTATTCGCATCGGGTGTTTACTCTCAATCAATAGATGGAGAACATTGTATTTGTACATAAGATACTTTTACTTAATCATAGTTAGTTAATATGCATTCTCACCTTATTAAATGACTTAACTATGATACATTGATCAAATGCGAAACCAGGATTTGAAGCTTATGAGTTCAGGATTTAAGTTCTTTTAAGTTACTGGGTTCTAACTTAATAATTTATGTAAAAATTGCACGGGGCGCCCTACTTGGTCGCCCTTGTTTAACCTATACCCACATTTTAAAAAAGTTTTAACTTGTACCCACTGTTTAAACAACTTCAGGTCTCTTTCTCCTCCTCCTTCTCCTCCTTCATTTTCTGAATGCTGAAGCTTGAAATATTGTTATGCGTTCTAGCCTGATGATTCATATATATCTGCTTATCCCATTATGTTCAATTTGGTCTTATTCACAATAATCTAACCTCTTAGATATTTTAGCTTTACAGGCACATTGGTTTTTGGTTGTAATTTATCTGTAGTAACTTGTTTTCATGTCGAAAATATTTTTCATTCTTTAATCTTTGAAATGAAGAGCATCAATCGCTGCTAATCATGATTTATTAAATTCATTGGTGTTTACAACTTCAGCTCTAAGAATGATGAAGTTCAGCAAATACAAAACAAACATCAGCCCTAGAATGATGAAGTTCATCACAAACAGAACAAAGCTTCAGCTAAAACATGTTGAAGTTTAGCAAATACAGAACAACGCTTCAGCTAAAACATGCTGAAGTTTAGCAAATACAGAACAAAGCTTGAGCTACTAGAATGCTGAGGTTCAGCAATTACAAACAAAAGCTTCAGCCAAAACATGTTGTAATTTTATTGAACTGAAGTTTGTCATTTGCACTATGAACTGAAGTTTGCGTGATTGCCTTTGCAAGTCAGGCCAAACTTCTGCAAAAATATCTGACGTTTTACTACACTTCAGGCAAAACTTTCTGAAGATCAAACTCCACACATAAATTTTTGCTACTTCAGGCCCATATGTCTGAAGTTACGCGAGAAGTGGGTACGCTTGCAAATTTTTTTGCAAAGCAAGTATAAGTTAAAAGGTGACCCAAAAAGCGGGTATAGATACAAATGGCCCATAATTTGTGCATATTCAATGAATTTCTTAAGATAAATATAAAGCTTAGACTAAAGCTACTGGGTTCGCCGAATCCGTGGCCGAAGGGCTGGCTCTACTCCTAACGTTGATATAGTTTGGCATAAACACGCGGCGCAAGTAAGTTTTTATCAACTCCCTTGCCCCGCCCTGCTTTTTAGGGGTCCAAAAAGGATTTGAAACTACAAAATTAGGAAAAATGAGGGGTGCCTTGAGCCAATCAAAATCACAGTTTTAATGGATCCCTTTGGGTTCAAGAAGACATAGACTTTACTCTAAGTGGACCATTATCATGTGACACCTTGTGGCCAATCATAGAGTTGTCAAATGGGCACAAATGTATGGTCAAACAAGTGGCACTAACCACTTCTACTTGTCAATTCTTAATTTAGTGACATTTTCCCGCCACACCAACTTTCTTGACCATACCAACCAGATAATATTCATTACAATTTTTAAAAGCTTAAAGAAGAGAAAAAGAATACACACCTCCTCCCTACAGCCTCTAGGTTATTTTACTAGTATCAATACAATAAAGCTACAATATCAAATGTAATTATGGTTATGCGTCTTAATGTCGGCCTAATAGTATAAAGTCAAGACAAAGTAAAGATGAGTAAAGGGCAGGGCAGCCCGGTGCACTAAGCTCTCGCTATATGTGGGGTTCGGGAAAGGGCCGGACCATAAAGATCTATTGTATCCAGCCTTACCCTGCAATTCTGCATAAGGCTATTTCATGACTGATTATGAAATAAGTTGTCATTATAAGTTGAGGAAATTTGTCAAGCACTGTTTTCTTATGCAATAGCTACACAAGGAAAAGACACAAGATAGAAACAAATGCACCAACCAAGATTCATAATGTATTTACAAATTAGCAAAACCTATCATATTTAACCTATTGTGTATCATGAAGGTGCCATAGACAATGGAAAGGGAGATTAGCTTCAATGAAATCTTTCACTTAGATGAAATCTAACAGCATGTTGAAATAAGCAATTTAGAGCTAGCAAAAGTCTCTAATTTTATCCCTTGGAATTGGACAGGAAAAAATGAAATAATAAACAAGAGAAGCAATGAGTTTAGAAGAAAATATATGATAAACTAGAGAAAAATCTGAAAGCATTCTTAGAACAGTTACATATCTTAGGCTCTCATTAGCTCAGGCTACTAACCTACAATTTCCGCATCAATTAGAAATCATTTCTCATTTTTCGTGTATTAGAAACTAAATAGTTCAAGCTATCCAAGAAAGATATCACGAAGTCAAATTGTGGTTCTTTTCAAGGACTCGACCCCTATAAAGATGTAAGAAGTGAAAACAAATGACTGAAACCAGAGGTGGTATGTTAGCTCAGCTGATTGTTGCCATTTACGCGATCAGTTGAAGGATCGACGACATATAGGTTTAGTCCTCTTGTCCGACCTGGTGCCCCTCCTTTGAGCAAAGATAAGTCCAGAGCATACCTGCATCAAAGGCATCAGATGCCAGAATTCCAATATGGACTGTGTATGCAAAAATGGATTAGACAAATCACATACATGTTATTTGATGCCTTATGATATTCTGCAGCACCGCAGTTAATTAAAATCTTCTGATCAATCTTTGATACTGAATGTTCGATAGGCAAGTCGACTAATTCTGGATCTGCATTTAAGATAAGTTCAAGAAATCATATTAGAGTTATAATTGCCTGATCGAATCAAGGTAAGAGCTGGGGTACAAGCTATGTCGTCTAGCTTACATGTTTTACGAGCAGTCTTCACACCTTCAGTAAGACCCAAGAGTTTCTACATAAATAGAAAGGGACATCATGGTGTGTCACTAAACGCCATTTGTTCATCTCATTTAGTATTACTTGACCATTGGACATATAGATAAACGAGAAATCTTATAACTCAAAGAAATATTACAATAAGGAGGAGCAAGACTTACCTTAAGATTCTCATAACAACTTTCAAGGTCATCGTTCACCAAAATATGATCGAAAAGACCTGATGATTTTCCTTGTTCGAGTTCTGCCCTAGCATTTCGGAGACGCTTTTGGATTTGCTCTTCAGTCTCAGTTGCCCTGTTCAACAGATTGACAACAATTTTATAACCAAATTTTGAACCATGCAATATGAGAATACTTTACATTCTCGATTAGCCTAACCTTGCACGAAGGCGCTTCTCAAGCTCTTCAAATGATGGCGGAGAGATAAAAATGAAAATAGCATCAAGAGAGCTAGCCCTCACAGACCTTGCACCTTGAACATCAATGTCAAGGATGCATCTCTGCACAATCATACAAAAATAAAAGGCTTGACAAATTTGCAAGAAGGATCTATCAATATGCTCATGCAAAATCGTCCATGAGTGATGCCATTAACAATCAATGTAAGCCTCAGTAGACAGTCCAAACTTGTTACTACATCCAGATCTTCATTTTTGAAGAGTTTTACTTCTTTTTCTTTTGATTGGGTTGGGAAGGGGGGGGGGGTAGGGGGGGGGGTAAGTAAGGGCAGGGCTGGATGTAGAAGACACACGAAGAAAGTTTCTTACTCGGTATCTAGTACGGAACTCATGGACTAATGTGGTGCACGTAAAAAAGCATCACTCATCATAGATGTGGCTCTCTTTGGCTAAGAGATCTATCAGTGTCCAAAGTTAAACAACTTTTTTCCTCTAATCTGTGATATTTACAAATTGCAAGTTAAAGTGTGACACATAGGTCAAAGGAATGGGATGTACTCTCCTTACATGGTTTTGGATAATCTTCACTTCATGAACTAACTTTTGGAGTTTAGTTAGACCCAAAATACATTCTATTAACATGGTATCAAAGTCCGATCCATCTTTATTGTGCTTCCCAACGTTGGATCCCCACATTATAGTATCATGCACCAATGTCCACTCATGAATGAGTGGTGTGAAGTTATAGTAGGAGTAGGGCATTGCAGTGTCCAACATTGGTTGAGAAAATGGTTGTCGTCTCCTTTTATGATCTTGTACTATTTGCCCCTCATAAACTGGCTTTTGGGATTGAGTTACGCACAAAGTTCATTTTCTTAACAATAGCATCTATTTTCCATCAGAATATACCAAAGATATAGGGCATCCATTCTCCCGGAGAATGTACCAAAATTCAAACTGGCATATATTCATGTAGGGCATGCACCAAACAAAATAGCTCTTTCTTTTTCCTTTTGATAATTAAATAATGTTTTTAAATGCCATTCCCTCTGAGTCTAGAGAATTGGGTTCGAGTACGACAATTGATACTTCTAATTTTTGTTGTGAATTTCTTATGTTTTAAATCAAAAAGTATTAGATCATATTTTCATACTTAAAAATAATTTTGAAAAAGAAAATTGGATACCTTGCCAGCATCAGCAACCACCTCTACTGCTTCGACACTTGTTCCATAAAGATTACCATGAACAGAAGCAAACTCCAGGAACTTCCCATCCTTAATGTCGCTCTCCATTACACTGCGGTCACTGAAATGGTAATGAATCCCATTTTGCTCTTTTTCTCTTGGTGCCCGGGTTGTGTGGCTCACAGAAAATCCAAACATAGATGGAAACTCTATCATTAGTTTAGATATCAAGGTCCCCTTCCCCACTCCAGACGGGCCACTAATGACAATAGGCTTCTCAACATTGCCTAAAACTCCTTTACTCCACGCAACCACTTCATTCCCATATGTCCTTTCCTGTTCTTCAATAAATGGGGTGCCCACCTACAAAAGTATGTAAGAGTTTTTAGCATACCACGAAAAAGTAAGAGGCTGCAATTCAAGTATACTGAATTCTTTGAAACAGTTAAGTGTCTCAATCATTGCATTTCGAATTCTTTTAATAAGTACAAATGGGCAACTCCATTGGATCCACAGCCCACCAACTTTTCCAGTTAAACATTTTGAAGGAATGCAAATCTGAGTAATCAAACAGCACGGGATCTTGACTTCCAAGTTTAACGGACGTAATAAAAAAAAGTTTAAGTTAACCAACCTCAAGAAACCAAAAGCAGTCATCAGAATTGGAATTTCCCTTAATGACCAATATACGATCACCATTTAAAAGCACGGCTGAGTGGCTGTTTGACAGCTTGGGTTTAGTACCCAGCACAATAGGGTTTATCCTGCAAATTAATTCAGATTTTATTCATCTTGCCTAAAAGCTACGGAATAACTACAACGGCTCCAAAAACACACCAGCTATATAAAAGAAAACTCACCATTCCCCACTAGATTTGTCAAAGATTCGAACTCCAATGAGCGGTGTTGATTCAAGATCAGCCCCACCAATCACATACTGATGAAAATAGGGAGTCAAAACACATGAATACAGCCATTTGGTTTACATACATAAAATTGGAAATATCAAATCAGCAAGTTGAATCATCGTACGATTTTAGAGCCGACACAAATAGCTGTTTCTTGGCCCTTTGATTTCAAATCAACCCCATTTAGAAAATCTCCCAGGAAACTATCAGCTGGAGCTTCTCCCTAAACACAACAAAGATAAAAGACAAGATCACAACAAAAGAAGCCAAAATATGTACTTTATAATTAAACTGCATTGTACTAAAGCTTGAATTTTTCTACAGATCAAGACTTATACACTCACCATTGATGTATAAAAGATTCAACCTGACCAAGAAAAAAATTACAAAATCAGACTAAAAACCCATAAAAAATCATATCAAATTATCTAACCAAATAAATAACAGAACTAGATCATGGTGCAACCAATTAGGCATAAAGCAGAAAACCATATGTTAATAAGATCCCAACGGATAACTAGAAAAACAGAGCCCATGAAATATTATGCTGCCTTGAGGCAAAAAAAAAAAAACTAAAAACTATAAAAAATAAAACCCATTAAAAATATTCCCGAATGAATGCAAACAGAAAGAGAGATACACACGTAAAGGTATAGGTGTCTCGCTCTGCTTAGGCTATCAAGCTGTAAAGACTTTTTCTTTTTTTTTTAAAAAAAGGGACCAAGAAAATCAATCAATTGGAAAACCCATAAAAATACCTGATAAATTCAGATTTATGTTAACCCAGAAGCTAATTCTTTTTATTTTTTTTGCTGTTGTAATCCTTATTTTTTCTTCTTTTTTGGTATTGTATGTATTGGATGAGAATGGTGAAGAAAGAGATCTCTTGTCAAAGAAGAAGAATAAAGTTTGAAAAGTCAGCAATTTTGAAGAAGAAGAGGAAGCTGCAAGAAAGCTTAAGAAGGTTTCCCATATTTGTAGGGCGAAACAAGGAATGTGGAAGAGAGTGGGAGGGGACCTAAGAGGTGGTTTTTTGGTCGCATTCACTTCACGAAACCCACAAAGTCCCTAAGCTCCAGGTCGCCTTCTCTTTCTTTCTCAATTTTATGTAGTTTTTTTTTCCTTAAAATTTGGTCCATGTTGGTCGTAGAATTTATTCAAAGGGTTTGAAATAAAATGTAAAAATTGGAAAAGGACAAAGTAGACCTTCCATACCTATTCATGAACTAATTCTATATAAAGTGCTCTTGTCAAGAAGTTCATGGACAAACCACATTCAACATTATTGGTAAACAATCCTAGATAATTGACGATTCTGGTAGGTTCATATGATAATTTTAGACTTGTACGTGTATTTGGTTGGGGTCCCGGGTGATCCAAGGCCGTTTCGGTGCTTATTGTGGAAAATTAAAAAAATGAGTTTATGAACCTTGAAATCTTTGAGTTTTGGTGGTTGATACTTTATGTTATTATGATGTTCTGAGCTTATGAGCGAGTTCGTATGAGGTTTATATACTTGTGCGGATATTTGGAGTAGGGTCCGGGGTGTTCGGGTGAGTTTCGGGGTGGTTTTCCTATCATGCTTGCATAAGTTGCAGGTGCATCGCAAAGGGTAGAGCTTGTCTCTCTTTCGCAAAGGGTTAATTGGGGTTGGGGTGGCTTTACCCTATGCGAACGCAAAGAGAAACTCGCGAACGTGATGGCCTAGGAAGATCTGGCCTTCGCGAACGCGGTTTTCCAAATGCGAACGCGTAGGCTTGGGTGCTTAGGGGCTGGCAGAACCTCTCTTTATCGCGAACAAGATCACAGGATCGCGAACGCAAAGACTTAGGGAGCGATAACCTTCACGAACATGTAACTTCGCAAACGTGAGAAGGCCTTCGCGAATGCGATGGTCAGTTGACCATAGACCTTCGCGAAGAATACCTGACTCACAGGTATATAAAGGGTTGAACATCGGGATTTAGCCTCTCTTCTTTTTTTTTTACCATTTTTGAGACCTAGATCGCGGATCGAGGAGATTTTTGAGAGAATTTTTATCCCAACTTCTAAGGTTAGTAACTTTTACTTAATGTTGATTTATTCCCATGATTTTTCCATAGATTTCATCCCTAAATCTAGTGTTTTAAAATGTAGAAATTGAGGTTTTGGGAAAAAATTGTGATTACTAATTTTAGGATATTGCACGATGAGTGTTTTGTTGCGGTAAAATTGAGTGATATATGCACGACGGGTGCTACCGTGCTATTGATATGCTATCTTTTACTCTCTCATTATTTATGCAAGTTTTTGGACTCGGCTATATGGTTTCACGGTTGTTATCTTGTCCTTTTGGATTTGAGTTGTGGAGATAGGAAGGTTGTGACATTTGAGGACCATGTTGATTATTTCCTTTAGTTTATTATTTTGCTATTTTCTCGCAATATCTATATTATCACTCTTAAAAATATTATTTTGTCCATTATCTTCTTGTTTGCTCTCCTGCTTATTTACTACACAAATATTTAAGTGGGTGTCTTGTCTTAGCTTCATCACTATTTATCGAGGTCTTACTCATATTACAGGATCGAGCTTGTGTTTCGAATATTGATGGTTTGAGAGAGTTGATTCTTGAGGAGACACATAGCTCACGATATTATATTCCTCTAGGTGTCATGAAGATGTATTGTGACTTGAAGTAGCATGAATGGTGGCGGAAGATAAAAGGGACATTGTTAGGTATGTTTCACGGTATTTGAATTTCGAACAGGTGAAGTATGAAGATCAGAAACCAGATGGTTTGACTCAGAGGTTGGTGATACCTAAGTGTAAGGGGGAGCGCATTACTATAGACTTTGTGGTAGGCTTACCACTGTGTTTGAGGAAGTTTGATGGTTTTTGGGTAATTATGGATAGATTGACCAGATCTGCGCAATTCATTTCGGTGATGACTTCTTAAACTTCAGAGAGGTTCGCTCATATCTACAATAGAGAGATTATTCGTTGTTATTTCATACCGTCGCACACAGTTCACTTTGCACTTTTGGAGAGTTGTTCAGCGACAATTGGGTGCGCAGGTGGATCTCAACACTACGTTTTATCCGCAGATTGATGGCCTATCCGAACGGACTATCCAAGTCCTTGAGGATATGTTGAGGGCATATGTTATTGATTTTGGAGGCTGTCAAGACCAGCTTCTACTATTTGGCAGAGTTTGCCTATAATAATAGCCACTAGTCTAGAATTTAGATGGCACTGTATGAGGCTTTATACGATAGCAGTTTTGTTTTCCTATTGGTTGGTTTTAGTCTGGTGAGGCTAGGATGTTGGGTTTGGATTTATTTTATGATGCTTTGGAGAAGGTGAAGTTGATTCGGGATCGCCTTCAGACAGCGTAGGTAGGCAGAAGAGTTATGCAGACAAGAAGGTCTGTGATGTGGATTTTATGGAGGGCGAGAAGGTGCTTTTGAAAGCTTCTCCAATGAAGCGCGTGATGAGACTTGGGAAGAAGGACAAGTTAAGGCCGAGGTTTATTAGCCTATTTGTGGTGTTAGAAAGAGTTAGGGAGGTTGCTTACATGCTTGCTTTGCCTCTAGTCTTTCGGGAGCTCATTCGGTATTTCATGTTTCTATGCTCTGATAGTGTCATGAAGATAAGTCGCATATTTTAGGCTTCAGCACGGTACAGCTTGATGAGGATTTGACTTATGAGGAAAAATCGGTAGTTATTTTAGATCGGCAGGTTCGATGGTTGAGGTCTAAAGATGTTTTTTTTTGTGAAAGTGTTTTGGAAAGGAATAGCTGACTGAAAAGGTTACTTAGAAGTCTGAGTTCGACATGAGGAGTAGTTATCCACACCTCTTTGTCCGTTCAGGTATGCTTCTATGTTCGTTCGAGTACGAATATTTTTTTTAAAGGTGGAGAATATAATGACCTGATAGGTCGTGTTGAGTTCTAACTTTTCATTTCGTGATTTGAGGCCTTATATAACTTTATTTAATGAAGTATAACTTATGCGCATGGTTCGTTTTGTTATCCGGGAACTAGATGTGTTTTTACAAAAAAAAATTGATTTTAAACTTTAAAGTTGTCGGAATTGACCACGGTCAACATTGTAGGCAAACAACCTCGGATCAGTATTTTGACAATTCAGTAGCTTTGTATAATAATTTTGGACTTGTACACATATTTGGTTGGGGTTCCGGGTGACCTGAAGTCTTTGAGTTTTGATGGTTGATTCCTGATTCTTGTTGTTATTTTGATGTTTTTGAGCTTGTGAGCGAGTTCGTATGAGGTTTATATACTTATGTGGAGGTTTGGAGTGGGGGCTGGGAGCTTGGGTAATTTTTAGGGTCGTTTCCGACTATTCTTGCACAAGTTGCAGTGGTTGATATGCTGCTGGTACAAGTGCATCGCGAACATGGAGCTTGTCTCGTGTTCGTAATGTGTTAATTGAGGCTGGTTAGTTTTACTCAACGTGAACATGAAGGGATGTTCGCGAACGCGATGGCCCGGAGGGATTTGGCCTCCACAAATGTGGTTTCCCAAATGCGAACGTGAATGGCTTGGGCACTTGGGGGCTTGCAAGACCTCTCTTCACTTGCGAACGCGAGCGCGGAAGCTTAGGGGCGATAGCCTTCGTGAACGCGATGGTCAGTTGACCATAGACCTTAGCGAATTCAACAGATGTTTCGCGAATGCAAAGAACACCTGACGTATAGGTATATAAAGAGTTGAAAATTTGGATTTAGCCTTTTTTTATATCATTTTTAGACTAAGATCACAGATTGAGGAGATTTTTAAGAGGATTTTGATAATAGGTGAATTTAACTATAATTAGACCCTAAAGAACCACCTTCTTTTATAGTTTGATGATAAAAGTGAGAACAAAATGCTCTGATTAGTGCTTTTCATGCTTTGCAGGTGATATATGACAAGAGAAGGCTATGGAGTACTTTTGGGGATCAAATATGGAGAAAAAGAGGCCAATCGTAAAATTTTGCCAAGTGAACCAAGCGAAGCAGCTCAAGCCAGGCCTGAAGAAGGACTGCCGCGGTTCCACCGCGACCGCGGCAGAACCGCGGCAGAGGCGGAAAAGTTCAGGGACTTAAGTGCAAAACACGGGATTTTTAGCCCAAAACCCTATTTTAAATACTAGACTTCGCCCAAAGGAGGCAAGAATTGTATTGGAGAATATTGTAGCAAGCAAAACAATTGTGAGAGATCGCCTAAAACATCATATCTTCTTCTTCTTTAATTTTTCTTGCAATTATGATTATGAATATTGTTCTAGTTGATTTACCCATAGTCATGAGCAGCTAAATCTTTTGTCTAGGGTTTTGATGGAACCTATTGAGGGATGAACTTCTTGTTCATGTGAATACAGTTTGCTAGTTTAACTTCTATTTGTTCAACTACGTGTTTGTTGTAGTTAATTGACAGGATCCTCAATTAGCTGTGCCTATTTAGTGTGCACAAATCGGGAGAGAGTGCATATTTAGGTTATTGTTGAACAACACCACTCCCAAAGTATAAGAGGGATCTATAACTGCGGGGTTTAAAGGTGGGATTAGGAATAACAAAGCCTTGGGTGCAATCTTAAGTGAACTCTGATAATTAAAGCTAGCTAGTGTATCTCGGGAGAGTGCATTAAGTAAATTACTGTGATTACTCGGGAGAGATTTATGGTAAGAAGAGCGTTCATGATTGATAGAATGTGTTGGTGAATTTGTATGAAACATAAACAGAAGGAATTCCATCAATAGGGGAAATCAATACCTTAGCGCTTTCTCATTATTGTTTACAGCTTAGCATCTTTAATTTGCAGCTATTAGTTACTGTTAATCTTAGTTATTAAAAACACCATCAACTGTGATTCTCAACGTTTGGGAAATTGATTCTAAAGAGTTTAGTAGGTCTAAAGATAGTGATTGATAGGTTAATTCTCTGCGGATTCGACTCTGGGCATAATACTAAGGTTATATTTGCAACGTCCGCATTGTCCTTTTTATAAGGCATAGTTGGGCGTGATCAGATTTCCATTCCAACTTTTAAGGTGAGTAACTTTTACTTAGTTTTGAATTATTCCCATGATTTTTCCAAAAAATTCATCCCTAAATTTA